GGTGGGGGCCGGAGGCTGCCAAGGGGACATCCAGGTCCTCCCCGGCCCCAGACCCCTCGACGCTCTTCTTCAGTTTTTGCCCCATTTCACCTGCTTTTATCATTCTCACAGTATTGATGGGGCATCCACCTCAGGCAGAGCAAACTAGAGACGCCCTCACTGTCCTCACATGGCTGGTGGTCTAGCGTCACGTGTGAAACCGAGCCAGGGGCTGTCAACGGGTGGGGAGCACATGGGCCAACCGCCCCCCCATTCATGTCAGGTGAGGAAGACGCTTAGAATGGGCTCCCCAGATTAGCTTCTCAGCCACGATACCTGCCTAGCGATGACGCAAACACCACGGGAGAAGATGGCTGCACTGCTAGGCATTTGTCCCCTCTGCAGCCAGAGGGTCCAAGGCAGATGTCAGGTAATGGTCCCCCTCCGACCCCTCACCATCCTGTGACCTGTCCATCCAGCTCAACCTGGGGTTTTACTATTATTAAACTCATTGTTCCCAGACTACTGGTAGGATTTTGGCTTCCTGCTTTCAAATCTGGGACCCTGCTCCAGTGGGCACAGCTCTGGGGACACATGCCCCTTAGCAAGCTGACCACCCACATCCCTATCCCTGCCACCTCCAAGCCCCATAGAACTGTCCCCTCAGGACACTGCTCTGCTGCAGACCGGGCTTCCCAAAGTGTGGGATCAGAATCCTGTGGGACCAGCATGCCAACGGGATTTGGGCCGAAAGTGGACAGGTGGTCAGTGACACTGACTCACACTGTGACATGCATTCCTTGTTCTCGTCCATCTCAATGTCCCAGTTTCTTCAAGGAGGAAGTCTTGGTTTCAGGCTAATCCACCCCGCACAGACCTATCACTTCAGAATCTCCCTTTTACCAAAGAGTGAGCAGACCTGGCCCAGAGCCTCCGGTGACAGGTGACCTAGTGGAATTCGGTAGCACAATTTTGTTTTCATTGCGTTCGTTTGTGTAGTCACCTCCTACTTAGAGGTATGGTGGTGACTGGCAACTGTCTTCTAAAATAAATTTATTTTAAGCAAAAACAGTGAATCATTTGGAGAAAGACCCACGCAGTCACTTAATTGACAAATATTTACAGGGCACAAATGAATGCAGGTCCTGCCTGGACACCGGGCTTTCGAACTGCTAGTACATCAAACTGGATGCCCACCCTCAGATGAGTAACAACAGCTGTCGTGCACAAACATGGCAAAACAGTGCCAACCGTACATCAATTCCTGAAGTTTGAGAGACCACAGCCGGCAAGGACCCCTTTCCAGGAGGAGAGGCAGGCGGGAAGCGAGTGACCCACGGCCTTGGCAGAGCTGGCCGCACCCTGGGACGTCTCCAGCCATGGCCTGATAGACCACAACTGGCCTTCTGTTATTTTAACTTGAACTTTTTAATAACTGCAGAAGTGCGGTTCATGCTGAAGCAAGCACCGCTTTCAGCCACCACTTCCTTTCTAAACAAACCTGGGCAAGTCATGCTGTCTCATTGGCTCCCGGCTTCTCATTCCGTACAATGGACCCACGGTTTTGAGCTCTGACCGTAACGTGTGCCCTATAAACTGGGGCTGGGGTGGATCAAGGTAGGAGGAAGTGACCATGTGTGCTCTGAATTTTAGAAACGACCTCCCTCAAAAACCACCAACCAACCCAAACTGAACCGCCACCATCCCCACCCCCAGCTCTATTTCAGACTCACAGCTCCTCAGGGGTCGTTAGAACACATCCAGAGGCACGAAAAGAGGAGTAGCCAGGTCGGGGCCAGGCTTTCTCCTCTGAACTAAGGAGACACAGCCCTTCCTGTATGTGAGGTCCTGATACTAGGGGAAGGCCTTCCCCTGTGCAAGACCCGCAGCTGTGCAAGGCCTTCCCCTGTGCAAGACCCGCACCTGTGCAAGGCCTTCC